ATATCCTTAGGGCTCTGGATGTTGTGGGGTTGTATTGGTTGATGCGACTCTAAAATATCACGTGGACATTGTGGACAGTTCCCCTGGATTGGCAGACTGGGGTGGTGGTCCCCCTATTTAAAAAGGGGGACCGCAGAGTGTGTTCCAACTACAGGGGGATCACACTTCTGAGCCTCCCTGGTATTCGGGGATTCTGGAGAGGAGGGTCCGTTGGATAGTCGAATCTCGGATTCAGGAAGAGTAGTTCGTCATGGTCGTGGAACAGTGGACCAGCTCTACACTCTCAGCAGGGTCTTGGAGGGTGCATGGGAGTTCGCCCAACCAGCCTACATGTGCTTTGTGGACTGGGAGAAGGTGTTCGACCGTGTCCCTTGGGGACTCCTGTGGAGGGATACTCCGGGAGTATGGGGTACTAGGCAAGTTGATACGGGCTGTTAGGTCCCTGTATGACCGGTGCCAGAGCTTGGTCCGCATTGCCGGTAGTAAGTCGGACTCGTTTCCGGTGAGAGTTGAACTCCACCAAGTTTGTCCTTTGTCACCGATTCTATTCATAACTTTTATGGACAGAATTTCTAGGCGCAGCCAAGGTGTTGAGGGGATCATTTTTGGTGATCTTAGGATCACATCTCTGCTTTTTGCGGATGATGTGGTCCTATTGGCTTCATCATATCATGATCTCCAGCTCTCATTGGAGCGGTTCGCAGCCGAGTGTGAAGCGGCCGGGATGAGGATCAGTGCCTCCAAATCCGAGACCATGGTCTTGAGCCGGAAACCGGTAGCGAGCCATCTCCGGGTCGGGGAGGAGGTCCTGCCCCAAGTGGAGGTGTTTAAGTATCTCGGGGTCTTGTTCACGAATGAGGGAAGAATGGAGCGGGAGATCGACAGGCGGATTGGTGTTGTGTCTGCAGTGATGTGGGCGCTGTACCGGTCTGTCATGATGAAGCGGGAGCTGAGCCAGAAGGTGAAGCTCTCGATTTACTGGTCAGTCTACGTTCCTACACTCATCTTTTGGGGTGGCTGTGGTGTAGTGGTAGAGCAGCCGGCTTTGGGACCCGCAAGTCACAGGTTCGACTCCCCACCATGCCTACATGCCGTTGTGTCCTTGGGCAAGACACTTCACCCACCTTGCCTACTGATGGTAGTCAGAGGGGCCGGTGGCGCAGCATAGCAGCCCCGCCTCTGTCAGTCTGCCCCAGGGCAGCTGTGGCTACAATGTAGCTTACTACCATCAGTGTGTGAATGTGAGTGTGAATGAATGATGCATGAAAAATTGTAAAGCGTCTTTGAGGGTCTCAAAAAGCGCTATATAAAACTAATGCATTATTATCATTATTATCTATGGTCATGAGCTTTGGGTAGTGACCGAAAGAACGTGATTGCGGATACAAGCAACCAAAATAAGTTTCCTCCACAGGGTGGCTGATCCCTTAGAGATAGGGTGAGAAGCTCAGTCATTCGGGCAGGACTCAGAGTAGAGCCGATGCTCCTCCACGTTGAGAGGAGCCAGTTGAGGTGGCTTGGGCATCTGGTTAGGATGCTTCCTGGACACCTCCCTGATCAGGTGTTCCAGGCACGTCCCACTGGGAGGTGGCCCAGAGGAAGACCCAGGACACGCTGGAGGGACTATGTTTCTCGGCTGGCCTGGGAACGCCTTGGGATTCCCACCGGACGAGCTGGCCCAAGTGGCTGGGGAGAGGGAAGTCTGGGTCTCTCTGCTTAGGCTGCTGCCCCCGTGATCTGATCCTGGAGAAGTGGCAGAAAACGGACGGACAGAATTTCTGATGTTCACCATAGAATATAATTAAATTCAACTGAAGACAGATTACAAAAAATCTATGTATAATCAGAGAATTAAAAAAGAAGGAAAAGTCGCCTGCAAAAACTCACAAAGTCCAGCATAAAAGTGAAACGAGCAGTATCATAAGCGTTTCTAAAGTAATCAAAAACAAACAAACAAACAAACAAACAAACAAACAAACAAACAAACAAACAAACAAAAACGGTAAAATAAGAAACTGCAGCTTATAAATGCCAAATCATCATTTTACTTATCAACAAAATACATTTATAACAAACTTATTTAAATGACCATAATACATTTAGAACACAATAGCAACACATCATAATACAAGTCAGTTTTTCTCTTGCCTTATTTTTCCGTATTGCTTCTTTTTTTACACTTAGACAGATTTGAATTTACAAATGGCTCTATTTTTAAGTAAATGTTTCTAATGTTTCATATTCTTTTTCTTCATCTCTGAAACTATTCCATAATTTAACACTTCTGACTGAAACAAAGTGTTTCTTTGATCATATCAAATTAGCGATCATACATGTTATTTATGCAAGGTTAAAAAGACATGACATTAGGATCTGTGTTACTGTAGGTCAGCATGCATAAGAAGGAAATGTTTTCTTTTTCCTGTTTTCCATTGACTACAACAGATATGTCAAGAAAAATATGGAGCCAAAGGAAACACAGAAAACAGACTGCCTTTAAATAAAACATGCACTGCGAGGCATCAGAACTTGGAAGACAGGCAGTCAGAGAAACAGCTCCTCTAACTTGACTCAAGTGATCCTGAGGGATTTCTGTGAATTTCTCTACAATTAATTACAGTGGGCTGGCTGAGGGCTGGCTAAGTGCTGAGGTGAAATGGTAGGCAACATGGGAGTCCCAACACACAGCTGAGATTGCTGGTTAAGTAAACAACTGTCATAGCGTAAAGAATTGCTCCAGAGTGTTTTTATGGCCGTGCAGTTTGTTGAATGGGGGAAAGAGCTTCAGAGAGTGGCAGGATGTACTTTGCATTTTGTAGTGACTACTGGATGTAGGCACCAGCTTACACGTGACCCGAAAAGGAAAAGGGAGGAAAGAAAACAGGTAAAAATATCACAACAAAATACATGTACAGTAGGTCTTTATGTACATTGTGTGAAAAACACAGTTTGCAATATGTGTAAGGACTTCAGTAATATGCTGAAAGAGAAATTTGTTACAAAAGTAAAATGAAAGTGTGCATTTAAGGTGACATCTTTCAGTATTAACATACTGTTGTCATTACAGTAAATTTGAAAAGGCTGGTGATGCACATCATTTTTTTACTATTGTATTAGTTGTGCTGTCATAGAACGTAGTGAAAGTGTTGAGAAGAGGTGAGGAAAATCAAAACAAATAAAAAAACAACAAAAAACAAAAACAAAACAAAACTATAAACAAAGCATATGGAATACGGCCGTAACCAATAATTAGGAGAAGACAATAACCTGAGTGTAAACAAGGGAAACTGGACAGAAGTGAAGAAATTAATTATATTTTAACATATAAGAGGCAAAATAACAATAATAATTCACATTGCATTTGTTGTTTTCATAAAATTTGATGGTTATTTGACAGCAAAAGCCCTGCTTAAACCAGCTGTTAAATAATAACTTTGTCAAAGAAAAGAAAAGAAAAGAAAAGAAAAGAAAAGAAAGGACAGGACAAGAAAAACACTATTTACAGCAGGTAAAATATTAATTTGTTATAAATATTTTACAGAACCCTAGTTCATAAATAAAGAAACAAAGAATTGAGAAAATGAGGTAAGAATCAGATGAATAATGTGAAAGTGTAAATGAAATCTGACAAAATCAAGAGATTCTAAACACACAATTTTTCCCTAAATTTAAGAAAGTCATGATTTATATTCGTAATATTACAAAAGGAGAGAGTGTGTTGAGGTTTAATACAAGAAACTCTAAACATGACATTGAAAGAAAGCATCAGGTGATAAGTAGAAGTTAAACAGAAGTACAGTTAAGAGGAGTGAGCCCTGAGCAGCAAAGTAGTCCAAGGTGTGTCCCTTTAAGTGAGTGGGGAATTTGATGAACTGCTGGAAGCCACAGCTGTCAAGGCAGGATGCAAAGTCTCTGATGAGACGGTTGTTGTCTTCATCCATATGAATGTTGATGTCTCCAAGTCTCCAAGAAAGATGATGTTTGGTGAAAGAGCTGTGAGATGGTGAGTAGAGCAGTAAAGTCATGTAAAAAAAAAAGAAGAAGAGTTGTTTTGTTTAGGTGGGCGGTAGCCTGGCTCTTGTTTTCCTACGCAGTTCCGCTCAATTATAGTTTCGCTTCACTGCTCCGTATGGGATTTCTCCCATAGACAAGAATTTCTTCAGGAGAATTTTTGTCATGGCCAATCAGAGAACAGAACGTCGATTTTCTGTGCAGTGTCTGCTAGTTAGTTAGCAATGGCAGTGGAGGAAGTGAATGAAGCCAGTCCGTTTTGATAAGGCTTCCAAATTAAATTGAAATTTTCTGACAAAGCAGCAGCTCTC